CCGGCAAAACCGTGGCGCTGATCAGCATGATCTTGGAGCAGTACCGGGGTTGCTTCGAAAGGATTTACATCTTTTCGCCGAGCATCAACGTGGACGACGGCTGGCGCCCCGTGAAGAAGTACATCGAGGAGACCATGAAGGTCCCCACGGACCGCGAGCAGGTCTACTTCGAGGAGTGGGACGAGCCGGCGCTGCGCCAGATCATTCGCCAACAGCGCAAGATCACGGAGACCAGCAAGCAACTGAAGATGCGATCCCTCTTCCAAATTTTGGTAGTAATCGACGATTTTGCGGACAATCCACACCTGCACAAGCGGTCGGGCGACAGCGCCCTCGACACGCTGTTTGTGCGGGGCAGGCACTTCCAGATCAGTACCCTGGTCAGCACGCAAAAGCTGCGCCTCGTAAGCAACACCGTGCGCGTCAACAGCCAATTCTTCTGCGTGTGGAGGTTGAGGAACCAGCTCGAGAAGGACAGCCTGCTGGAGGAGCTGACGGCGCTGGTGCCCAAGCCGCAGCTCGAGGCGATGTATGAGGAGGCCGTCGCGGAGCCCTACAGCTTCCTCTACATCTACCTGCTGAACCCTCTCGAAAGGATGTTCCACATCCGCTTCGAGCGCGTTTTCCAGATAGGAAACACCGCCAGCGCGCGCTCCGCAGATGGGACAGCTGCTGGGAACGGTCTTCGGCAAGTTGCTGGGCAGCAGCACGCTGTTCCAGAGCGAGTGCCGGAACATTAACTGCTGCACCTCGACAGCAGCAGCAATGCGCGTCTATGACCCGTCTAAGCCGCCGTGGATGCAGCAGCAGTGGCAGCCGCAGCAGCCCTGGGTGCAGCAGACGTCTGCGGACTCCACCTCTAGCCTGCCTGGGCCAGCAGGTCGGCTGTTTGGTAGAAGGAAAAAGCTCATGACCTCCGTCTGGGTCGACAGCCGCAAGCGCGTCGCGGGCAACGACGCGGACTTCGAGTTTGACATCGGCCAGACGGTGCACCTGCAGGGCTCCGCGCGGCTCTCGGTCTTCAAGATCCGTGTGGCCGACACCTTCCTGAGCACGGATCGGGGCACCTACATGTACTGGCGCGACCAGGCGCTCAACAGTCTGAACTGGGCGCAGCTGCCCGTCGGCGCGTACACCGGCGCGAGGCTGGCGGCGTGGATCTCCTCCAACTTCGCCAGCGCGATGTACGTCGAGAGCACCAACGAGATCACCGTGGCGCACGACGGCAACAGGACGATCCTGAACGACCAGGAGCTGCACAACCTCTTCCCCGGCTCCGGCAACTACCCGCAGGGCACCACGCCTTCCGCGCCCCAGAGCATCAACCACCTGCTGGGCCCAAGCTTCATCGCCGACGGCAGCCAGGTCTTCACCTTCGTGCAGATGATGCCCTACTCGGAGCTCTACCTCAGGTGCAGCAGCCTGGCCAACGCGGCGGACACCGTGGGGCCTCTGGGCCACGACATCGTGGCAAAGATCATCTGCAACCGCGGCGTGGGGTACATCATGGAATCGAGCACCGACGAGAACCACCTGGTCAACATTAGGGGCCCCATCACGCTGCGCTACCTCCGCTTCAGGTTGACGGACGTGGACGGGGGCACGGTCAACCTCCGCGGCACCAGCATCAGCTTCTGCATCTATCTGGACGGCTGAGCCGCCGTGCTCGGACGAGCGCAAGCTGATAAATGCCATCAGGAAAAGGATGGAGGAGACTGCGACGATCCAGGAGGAGGCTAATCCGCAGCCGGAGCCCGCCTCGGAGCACGAGATGGCAGCGGCTCCGCCGGTACCTGCAGAGCCTGTTGCCGAAGCGCCCAAGCCTGCCCCCAAGCGCCGCGGAAGACCCCCCGCCTCAAAAAACAAGCCGAAAGCCCCGCCCACTGCTCCCGCTGCCGCGGCCGAGCATGTTGATGTACCTGTTTCCGCCCCTGCCCCTGTAGAACCGTCCGCCGATTCTGTAGAGTCGCAGCCCGTCGAGGAGCCGCCGCCCACGCCCGCGCAGCTGCGCGCCATGAGGCAGGTCTCGCGCGCCGACCGCTTCGAGGAGCTGCTGATGCGAAACAGCATGGAAGTTTAAGGTAAAACATGATGCGCATCGAGTCTCGGAACGAGCGGCAGATGCTGCAGCAGTTCTGGAAGAAGTACCCGGCCTACAACCTGAATCCGTTGATGCGCAAGCGCTACGAGGAGCTCATGGACGCGCGCGCCTTCAACGAGTTCCTGAGCGACAGGCGGCTGAGGCAGGAAGGTGAGGCCTACGTGGATGCCGTTGGCCGCATGACGGAGGTCGTGAACCGCAGGCTGCCGCAGCTGCGCTGGGCCGGGGCGGAGCGCCGGCAGGTGCAACGCGCGGCGCGGCAGTTGGCCGAGCGCTAGAGTCAAAAAGCATGGAGGAGCGCCGCGAGCTGGGTTTCCGCAAGCGGCCGGATTTTGCCGAGGTGCTCGCCTACATCGACGAAGGGCAACCGCTGAAGAGCCTGGTGCCGCTGCCCAATCGCCGGGCCAGCATCTACACTTCGAGCCACTTCTATCTCGATGAGTTTCCACAGGCCCCGGAGCCGCTGCGCGAGGCACCCCGACCGCACAGCCAGCTGGGCGCCGCGGTCGAGGAAGACTTCGCGAGCGCTGACGACGGCTATCAGGGCCGCCCTTTTCCGCAGCTCCGGCGCCCGAACTTTCTGGGCCCGGGGCCCGGCTCGGAAGACGACACCGGTCCAGACGAAGCCTTCAGGCGCGACGGCTTCGACGGAGCGCCGCGCCCGCCTCAGGCGTCCAGCAGCGTCAGCGGTCGCTTCGGCGAGGCGGCGCTGCGAGGCGCGGAGGGCATCATCGCTGCCGGGGCCGCCGGCGTGGGCAGGTCCGCCGAGAACTTCGGCTTCAGGAACGCAGAGCAGGCGGTGAATTTGATCGAGCGCCGCATCGCCCCGACGATCATCGGCAGACCGTCGCAGGCGGAGGAGCTGATCGCCAGGGCGGGGCAGCGGGCGCAGGAGGTAGAGCGAGCCGCCGCCGCCCAGCAGGCTGCGGCGGAGGGCGGGGAGCTGGCGCCGCTGCTGGCCGAGGCTGGCACGCAAACGGCGGCTGCGGAAGGCGGCAGCGCGCTGGCGGGGCTTTCGGCCTTCGGCGGAGCCGCCGCGGAGGGAGCCGGCGAGGCCGCGGCCCTGGCTTTCCCGCTGGCGGAGGGGCTCGGCATGGCGGCGGGTGTGGCCACCGGAGGCGCAGCCGCTTTGGCCGGAGGCGCGGCCTACGGTCTGTACCAAGGAGGCCGCTGGCTCCTGGGCGGCGGCGGCGGGGACGCCGCTTCCAGCTCAGAATCCGCGGTTGACATCCGCACGTTGAACAACATGCAGCAGGGCTCACCGCAGGAGCACATCAGCCTGCGGCAGCCCGCAAGACGCCGCCCCGTGGTGCAGCCCATGGTGGCGGACCTGGCCGCGGGTGACTCAGACTCGCCGCCGCCGCAAGCGCAGCAGCCCGCGCCTCAAGTGCGCTCGAGGCCGTCCAACATGCCCTGGGGCGTCAACCCCGTGGCCCAGCCAAGGCAACAGCGCCGGAGCTCCAGCGAAAGCGAGGGCTTCGGCCCCGTTCGCAGGCAGCGCCCTGCCATGGCGGAGCCTTCCTTCAGCGAGCTGCGGCGGGAGGCGCTGGCCCGCGAGCCGGAGGCGGCTTAGCAGCGCTGCTAGGACGACCGACGCGGTGGCCCGCGCCGTATATAGGAAACAAGCACCTGTTCACCGCCATGGATCAGGTCACGAACGCGGTGAACGATGAGCTTATCAGCTCGCTCGACTACAAGATGAGGACCTCGAATGCGTCCTACGTCACTTCACGAAAAGACGTTCAGTTCTTCCCGAGCTCCCTCAGCACCGTCACCGCCACCACCAGCCGAGTCGCGAGGATCCCCCTGACCACCGGAGGCGATTTTCTTGAGCCCGAGTCCATCAAGATTGCCTTTCGCTTCGTGAACAACGATGCCACAAACGAATTCCACCCCCTGACGGGCCACCCCGCCTGCCTGGTCAAGCGCATCCAGCTCTTCGCCAACGGCCAGCGCACCGATGATATCGACTATTACTCCCGCTCGGTCCACATGTACACACTGCTCAAGCCGCGGGAATACTGGATCAACCAAGCCAACGAAGGCTTCGAGATCAACGAGATCTCCAACTTCCCGGCGGCACTGCCCGAGAACCACTTTCAGGAAGTGCTCATGGCGCCCACGCTGGTCGGCCTTCTGGGCTGCGGGAAGCTCTTGCCGCCGCAGCTGAACCTGGTGCTCGAGATCGAGTTCGCGGACCCCGCGGAGGCCGTGCGCGGCGGGCAGAACAGCTCTGTGGACTACGAGCTCCAGAACGTGCGAGTGCTGGCCAGCCAGGTTACTTTGGACAGCGCACTGGTGGAGAGCTTCAACCGCGTTCTGCTCTCGGGCCGCAGCCTGGTGTTCTCCTACCCAACGGTCCACACACAGGTGACTTCCGTGCCCGCGGGCTCCACGGAGTTCAACGTGACGGTCGCGAGAGCATACACCAAGCTACTGGGCGCCTTCGTCACTTTCCGCAACGCGGCAGACCAATCGGGCGTCGTGGCGCTGAACCACCCGGCAGTGCAGGCCGACGGCACCTCCTTCCTAGAGTCCCAGATGCAGCTGGGCCCCATGCAGGTGCCGCACTACCCCGCCAAGGATTTTGCGGAACACCACCATTTTCTGCAAATTCTGGCGCAGACCTACGACAGCTCCATCCGCAACATGCGCCTGACGAAGAACATGTACGAGGGAAGCTCCTTCATCGCTGCCTACCCAGTTCAGCGGGTGCCCGGCATGCCCCTCAGCGGCATTTCGACCCGCTCGGGAGACCTGGCGCGTTTTACCTTCAAGGGCCTTCAGGCAGACAGAGTGCAGCAGTGCTACGTGCACCTCGTGAGCTACCAAGTAATCACGCTGTCGGGCTCGGGCGTGTCGGTCCTCGACTAGCCGCAGCGCCGTGGTAGGAAACGCCATGAGCATGTTCCGCTCCACCATCACTGGGGCCATTCTAGACGATGGTTCCACGACCGAAATCAGCGGGATAACAGCTGGCCAATTGGCCACCGTTTTGACGGCGTACACGCCTCTGACCGACACTGCCGCGAACACTGCCAGCATCAGCGCCAACAGCAGCGGAGTGGCCAACAACGCTGCCTCGATTGCGACTCTGCAGACGCAGATCGATGCGCTGCCCACGCCGCCAGATTTGACGCCCTACGCTCTAGCCTCAGACCTCGCAGCTGCCGAGGGACAGATCGCAGCAAACCAATCCAGCATCACTGCCTTCAACACCAGCCTGACGGCAGGCCTGGCTTCGAAGGCCAACCAATCGGCGCTGGACGCCCTCCAGTTGGAGCTCCAAGGCAAGAGCACGCCGGCTTCGGTAGACACCAAGCTTGCGAGCTACAGCACCACGGCAGCAGTGAATTCTGCGATTACAAGCGCAAACAACGCCACCCTGGCCACAGTGAGCAGCACCTACGCGCTTCGCAGCGTCACCGACCAGTTGGCTTTGGACCTTGCCGCCAAGCAGTCGGGGCCCGACGTGGATCAGAAGATTGCCACGGCGCTTTTGGATCGGCCCCGCACCACTGACTTGACGGCGGCGGTCAACTTGAAAACCACGCCTGCCGACGTGGACCAGAAGGTCGCGACCGCCCTCGTGACCTATGCCACGCAGACGGCTCTGAACGCAGCGCTGGCCCTCCGCGATGGTAGGCTGGACGCCGCCGAAGCCTCCGTAGGAGCGCTGCAGGCGGCAGGCTTTCAGACGGCCGCTCAGGTAGCTTCGGCCATTGCCACAGCGTTGCTGAGCTACACAGACACCATAGGCGTGAATGCGATGCTGGCGGTGCGGGACGGTCGCTTGGACGCTGCAGAAGCCTCCATCACGGGCCTGCAAACGGCGGGCTACCAGACCTCGGCGCAGGTGGCGGGCGCTATAGCCACAGCGCTGCTGCCTTACGTCCAGCAGACCGCCCTGGACGCCGCTCTGGGCCTGCGCGACCTCAGATTGGACGGCGCAGAGGCCAACATCCTGGCCCTGCAGGGTGTGGGGCCCTTCGCTAGCGCTGCTGATCTGGATTCCTTGGAAACCAGCCTGCAGAGCGCAATTGACGCCGTGCTGGCGCAGCTGGCCGTGCTGGCCGCGGGAGCCGTGCAGAACGCGCAAGAATGGGCGGGGCAGACCACCTTCGAGCTGCTGGTGGGCGCCAGCACTCTGCGGCGGCTGCACGTCACGGCTCCGCTGAGCATCAGCCTGCAGAACGAGGACCTGGCCCTGAGCATCGCCTGCGATTCCTACAGCACGGCCCAGGCGGACGCCGCCATCGCAGCAGCCATCACGGCGGCCTTGCTGCCTTACGAGACTGCAGCGCAGCGAGACGCTGCAATTACAGCCGCCCTGGCTGCCTTCAGCAACACTTCCGCGGTCAACGCACTGATCGCTGCGGCCTTGGCCGCATATAGCACCACCGCTGAGATGAACTCAGCCATCGCTGCAGCTGTGGGCGCCATTGACCTCAGCGGCTACTACAGCAGCGCCCAAACGGACGCAGCCATCACAGCTGCTTTGGTGCCCGTGACCTTGTCGAATGCGCCCGCCTGGGCCGCGAATCCGCCCACCTGGGAGTTGCTGAAGGCCACCAACGTGCTGCGCAACCTGCACTTTGCTGGCCCGCTGCTGGCCAGCCTGCAGAACAACACCGACACGCTGCAGATCGAATGCGTTGCCTACGACAAGTCCGAGACCTACACTCAGGCGGAAGTCAACACCGTGGTCTCCGGCGCCATCGACGCGCTCAACATCACGCAGTATCAGACCGAGACAGACGTGGACACTGCAATCAGCGATGCCCTGTTGGACTACTATACCTCGGCGCAGGTCGACGCAGAAATCGCCGCCAATAGCTTCAACGCCAGTGACTACTACAACAAGACGCAATCTGACAGCAGGTACTTCGTGTCCAACGCCGACGCCGGCAACATCTCGCTGATTCGGGACGCGGTCACTCCTCCC